GTAGGTTTTTTCGGGCTATATGGCCATGGTCTAGAGGCATTCTCTCCTGATGTTTCGCCTGCATCTATGGGAAGCATCCTCAGAGGTAGTGAGGTCTGTTGGAACTAGGAAAAAGGGTTTATATATCCGTGGAATGACCAGGGTGAGACAAAGGACTCTTGTCTGCTGGAGCTAGGTGTGAATGTTTCAACTGACCACCTTGATTAGCATATAATGGCCTGACAGTGCCTGGAGCAAACTTTTGTTGAGAGGTGATTAGATGTCCTTGTTTGTTTCCTCTCTGTTGTTGTGCTGTTGTAATTTTAGAGTTTTTTAATACTGGTAGTCAGATTTTGTTCATTTTCATGGTTTCCTCCTTTCTGTTGAAATTGTCCACATGCTTGTGTATTTCAATGGCTTCTCTGTGTAGTCTGGCATGGTAGTTGTGAGAATGGTCCAGCATTTCTGTGTTCTCAAATTAAATGCTGTGTCCAGGTTTGTCTCCTCAGAATACCAATATAAAAATTACAACACTGTACAGTGACCACTGTTTGAACTGCATATTTGCTATATCGCATTATTTGTATGGTATTGACAGGGGAAGAGCAAAAGTATCTAATGACAAAAATTGTGTCTCCATTTATTAGTGAATTCTCTTAGAATTAGAAAGACATGAAGGAAGTACTTGTAATAACATGAACAAGTACAGACTTGTTTCTGTTTGAGAATCAAAAAGAGAAAGTGTAATATGTGATGGAAGGGCCTCATTAAGAAACTTATTTGTCTCTTCATTACCTAGTATTCTTTTCTGGAGCCATGTCTTTGTTGTTGTTGTTGTTGTTGTTGTTGATGATGATGATGATAAAAATAATAAGAATAATAACAATAGTGATGTATTACACCATTTTTGATCAGGTATAGGTAGTAAAGTAAAAAAAAAAACTCTCATAACCTGGCAAGATGATCCAAATGGCCAGATAACATCCAGTGACATGAATAACATCTTAAATTGTGAGTTTTTATTCCATAATTTTACATGTACATTACTTTAAAGTAGATGGTGAAGTCATTGAAAGCATTCATCTTTTCCCATATCTTGGTTTGGTCATTACTCAGAATGGATTAATCAGAATGGATCCAAGATATTAGATGAATACATGATCCTGAGGTATACAGATATATCACTTAATACTGAAGTTCAGATGGTCTGTGCCATCATATTGCCATTTCAATGTATGGTTGTGAAAGCTGGACAGTGAAAAAACTTAAAGGAAGAAAATAAACCCATTTGAGATCTAGTTCAAGAGAAGTGCACTTTGTGGAGCACTACAACCAGATCTTTGACATTGTTGTCATGGACAGCTAAAAAGACAAATAAAAGACCCTAGAACAAATCAGGTACAATTCTCCTTAGAATCTAAGATGGCTAAACCAAGGAAATTGTGCATAGGTCATATCACGATAATGCATAACTCACTAGAAGAAACAAATGGTTGGTAGAAGACAACAGGAAAAGAGGCTGACTGCATTCCAGATGGGGAGACTCAATAAGGTAAGCAACAGCCCTGAATCTGCAAGATCTCAAAAAGGCCATTGAGGACAGATTGATCAGGAGATCTCTCATTCACAGGGACACCATAAATCGAAGTGGATTTGAAGGCAGTTAATAACAACAGCAATAATAATTGCATAATACGTTTGCAAATAATTATTATGGGAAACCTTTCTTTTGAGTTAACACGAGTTACTTCAACATATGCTGAATGGATTCTGCTGTGTTTAGTGTCTCTCCCAATTGTTCTGAGCTATGGGGGTTTTTTATCCTGAAGACATATCCAAGTACCTCTTGGGAGTTGTCTACATTCATCCTTTATGCAGAGATTTATATCTTATTTTCCTTATCAAAATAACAACATTGAAATCCTCTTAAATCTCTTGCTTCATCAACTGAAAAAAGTAAGTTGTTGACAAAGAAAAATAATTTCTTCATACTATTATTAAAATTCATTTCTATTGCACTGCTAAGATACAAAGAAGTTACAAATCAATTTTCTCCATAAGAAGCTCGTGAAAGAAGCTCTTAATGTTCCACCAAGGAAGGCGTGATGGAGGAGTGAACCATTTAAAAACATTACAGGGATAAAGTGAGAGCATTTGGGTTAACACTATTCCGTGAATTGAAATTTGAAGATCACTCACCAAGGCCCTGGGTTAATAATCTATCTTTTGGGGCATATTTGCTCTCAGCTCCAAGGTATTTGGACTAACCAGAAAACCAACTTCAATGGGTCTTAATTTCAACATCATTTCACATTTCTCCACATAACCTCTTTCCCTTCCCAATGACGGCAGTTAGTTTTATCTACTGTTCTTTTAAAATTGGATTGTTTTGATTTTATGCTACATGTGTTGATGGGGGGGGGGGGTGTTCCTATAATTTTATGTGACTTGTTTTATATTTTTGTACTGTTTTTACCTGTTGTATATTATATGTGTTGTATATTATATGTGTGCTTTGTAAGCTGCCCCGAATCCCTTTGGGGAGATGGTGGCGGGATATAAATCAAAAATTATTATCATTAATATTATAATTAATAATAATAATAATTGGTCACCATATATTTAGTGCACCTGTAAAGACACATTCTGTTTTTTTTGTGATTTTATATGGAAAATGTGAATCTTCCATTTGAGAAATACAGTATAATAATCAGATTTTTTATCCACATGGTCATAGGCATTCTCAAAAAATTCCACCATGTCAGCAAGGTGGGATTTCCCTTTGTAGAAGTCATGCTATTTTTTCCCTCAGATAGATGACCTTCTTATATACAGAACTCAATAATTTTGTCTCCAACAATCCTTTTCAACAATGTAGCTGGAACAAATGCTAAGTTTACTAGTGTGAAATGTCTTGAATCCTTTTCCAGAAATAGATCATTATGACATGTGCGACTTTTAAGTCCTCTGGTTCCAAGGTCGGACTTAGTGACAAGTTATGAGTTAGAATAGGCATGGGCAAACTTTGATCCTCAAGGTATTTTGGACTCCCACAATTTCTAACAGCCCACTGACTGCTAGGAATCGTGGATGTTCAAGTCCAAAACTCCTGGCCAAAGTTTGCCCAGGCCTGTGTTAAAAGAACATCTATTTTAGCTATTGGAACTAGTTGGTAATAGGTCATATCTAAACACCAGTATAAAACCCCAAACAATTTGGGATCCAATTAGCAAAGAGATCATTTTTCCCTTCCATTTGATTTCTGAAAAGCCTTTCCTTACAACACTCCTGAGGTCTACTCCATATCCATTTGAAGCAAGCTATTTTCATAGCAGTACCCATGAAGAGGAATGCTCTGTTATCAAATATGCTTGGACAATACTTCGTTTCAAATGCATGCCTTTCCAATATTGTTGGGTCTACCATATGTTTATGGATAACTAAAAAAATTGAACGACAGGCAGCATTTACAATCTCTATTTTTACATTAGAGTCTATGCAAAATGGACCATAACAAGAATTTGGGAGGAGCTGGGTGGGGAAAACAGTCTCTGAATTCAAGGACAGGTTAAACTGACACAAGTATTGCCTGGATCAAGAAAAAAATAATTCAGGCTTACAGAGAGGAAAATATAACAGAATTGGAATTCACGTGCATGCGAGGTATCTGGTCTAATAATATAGGAGGGACTCTGGTGTCTTGTAGAACAACGGTTTTATAGTTCACCTTATCTCTATCAGCTTGCCTCATCACATGACCTTTTTGGCCAATGTGAGGGTATGGCTTTGTTTGTTCTCATCATTTCCAGTTCTGAAAATATGGGCGTGTGGGGCATTACCTCATAACATTCTTAACAAAGGCATGTAACCAGGAATAACCAGAGCCGTCTCTTAACAGCCCATCCTTTCAGTGTATGTGGCTTTATCAAACTCCATTTTGGATCTTTGTTCTCAGATGTTTGCCAGCCTGTCCTGAATTTTGCATGGAGGTGTTCAGAATGGCAATCCAAGTCTAAATAGCATGCAAATAGCTGGTTAAAATTGGTTCATAAAGATGTATCCTAGAGTACCCCACTGCTATACAAAGTATTTGTTTGGAATGTAAACATAGTAGCTGATATAACAATTCCAAAACATTACTAGTATCTCTGTTTGTTCTTATTAGATAAGCCTAGTGACTCTGTAATCAAGCATATTATTTGAGATAGTATAATAGATGGGGCCATGGTGGTGCAGCGGGTTAAATCACTAAGCTGCAGAACTTGCTGACCAGAAGGTCAGCAGTTCGAATCTGCAGGATGGGGTGAGCTCCCAATGTTAGCCCCAGCTTCTGCCAACCTAGTAGTCCGAAAACATGCAAATGTGAGTAGATCAATAGGTACTGCTTCGGCAGGAAGGTAATGGCGCTTCATGTAGTCATGCTGGCCACATAACATAGGAGGTGTCTATGGACAATGCCAGCTCTTCGGCTTAGAAATTGAGATGAGCAGCACTCCACAGAGTTGGATTTGACTAGACTTAATGTCAAGGGGAAACCTTTACCTTTTTATAATCGATGGATTGAAACAAAACACTTTACATTGAAATATAGCTATATATATTGCATCTAGCATTTAGGCATTGTTTGTATGATATGTTCCATGGTTTTTGTGCTTTAGAAGCATCTTGTTTATATATATTTGTAAATCAAATGAAATTAATATAAAATAAATGTTCTTAAAATACATGCCATTCACCCCATTTCAAACTGAAGACTGTTAGTAAATAGTTAAGTTAATCCTACCCATTAGTTCAAGGTTAGTCATGTTCACTAGCCAATTCACAGGAAATATGAGATTCAAACAGGAACACCCAGACTATGCAAGTCAGTCATGTTTGGATGACCCAAAACATTCAATGCAATAGTATTTGAATGTACTTGCCACTTTTCAAAAAGTTCCAGCTCTTATTGGATGTAAGAAAAGAAATTGCAAGGAATGCCCTTTTATTATATTGAACAGATATTGAGTTCTTGTACTTACCTGAACTATCAGACTGGAGCACACAAAGGAAAAGCCAGGGAAACACCTTTAAAATGGATCTGGAAAACATTTTCTTCTTTCTTCAACGTGTGCACTATTTCTTTATGCTACCTGGGTAGAAGCAGCAATAAAACAATAAGATATGAGAAGCAACAGTAAAGATGATGGATCTAAATAACAATGCAGCCAGACATGTCTCACAACCCTCACCATTTTTATCAATTAATCTTGTAAATGAACACGTTGTGCTTCAGTGTAAGGCTCACTTGCATTGAAGCGCAGGTATGTGATGCTTCCTGTTGCCTTCTGAACATTAAAGAATGCTATAATACTAATGGAATATGTAGTGAAAGGAAGCATAAAACAAGAAATACATAACATGAATCAACAATGTGATGTGGCAGCTAAAAAAGCCAATGGGATTTTGGCCTGATGGAATGTGTCCAGAGAAGGGTGACGAAAATGATCAAGGATCTGGAGAACAAGCCCTATGAGGAGTGGCTTAAAGAGCTGGGCATGTTTAGCCTGCAGAAGACAAGGCTGAGAGGAGACATGATAGTCATGTACAGTGTTCCCTCACTACTTTGCAGTTCGCTTTTAGCGTACTTGCTGTTTTGTGGTTTTTTTGAAAATATTAATATAAAATATAAAATATTTATGTCCAGTGGAAGGCAGGGACCCCAGAAGTGTGGTGGCCTGAGGCGCAATGGGGAAAGACTGCCTCCCTGGGCTCCACAGACCCCGGAAGTGCGGAGGCCTGAGGTGCGGCGGGGAAGGCCTGGCTCCCTGGCCTGCTGCTGCCTGCATGGCTCCAGAGGCTCTGCAGGGGTCTGCAGAGGAGTCAGACTGGCACCTTTGGGATGGGCCAGGAGGTGGGTAAGGAAGCGCGGGTAAGAAAATAATATATACAATAATATATAAACATTAAAATTAATATGGCGTCCCTACTTTGCAGAGTTTCATTTATTGTGGGTGGTCCTGGAATGGAACCCCCTCAATAAGTGAGGGAACACTGCATACATATGTGAGGGGAAGTCATAGGGAGGGGATGGCAAGCTTGTTTTCTGCTGCCCTGGAAACTAGGATGTGGAACAATGGCCTCAAACTATAGGAGATTCCACCTGAACATTAGGAAGAACTTCCTGACTGTGAGAGCTGTTCAGCAGTGGAACTCTCTACCCAGAGTGTGGTGGAGGCTCCTTGATCTTTTAAACAGAGGCTGGATGGCCATCTGTCGGGGATGCTTTGAATGCAATTTTCCTGTCTTTTTGCAAGGGATTGGACTGGATGGCCCACGAGGTCTGTTCCAACTCTATGATTCTATAATTTGGCTTGGAAGAAAAATAAAAAAACAAATATACAAGTAGCAGAAGATGGGAGTTCAAGGATGAATGACAGCATTTACAAATGGATTTTGGTGACAATAACCTACAATTCCCAGATGGAGTTAGGTGATTTAATAATGAGCACGAGAGAACAGTGTAATGCATCTGGCAAAAATGTATGTCATAAGCTTTGGTATGAGATTCCAGAAACTTTCTAAAGAAACAGACTATCTCTAGTAGAAGAGCTATTTTCAGTTGCCATTTCACCATATCAGATTATCAACCAAGTAGAAAAGTTGCAATTGGCAAAATAAGGGATTTGATAAAAAAAAGGCATATGGGAAAAGCTAAAAGATCCAAGGGGAAATAAAGAAAGAGGACTTGTCAGTAGCTTCTAAACAGAACAGAAAGGAAGAACATTGCCGTATTTAATGAATCCAATTAGAATAAAATATCATAGAATCATAGAGTTGGAAGAGATCTCGTGAGCCATCCAGTCCATCCAGTCCTCATAGGGCTTGTTCTCCAGACCCTTGATCATTTTAGTTGCCCTCCTCTTTGTCCTCTGGGCGACTAAGATCAAGCAATTTGTGCATGCCCTTCCACATTTAAAATCCTTCAGTGCAATGCTAGCAAACTGAGGAGAGAACAAGCAAGCATCTATTTGGACTGGACACAGTGTTCAACTTCCCACCGGATTTTTTTTCTTTCCATGCCAACTTTCCTGACCCACTAGCCTTGTTATCTCATGGCATAACTAAGTTCCTCTTTGGACAAAAGGAGAACAAAAGTGTCAACAGAAAAGAAACATTAAAAGGAGAGAACCCCTCTTACTTCTCAGTGCATGAGAAACAAACTATCCATTCAACCTGTTGTAAAAGCCAGCAAATTAAGAGAAGGAAGTAAGAGAGATCATTTATAGTCAACTTACGATAAGCAGAAACCTGAGACGAATGCTTTGCTTTCCAAAGAGAAGTCTCTTCCTTCACTGAACATCAATCCTCATGGGCCAATGATCACAAAGCTCCACCACTTGATCATTCTTAACCTGTGATGTACAGAAAGATAATTATGGAGCTTTAAGATGAGCGAAACGTCACTGCTCTCACAACTTCCCTTTTCCATCCTTTCACCCTCTTCCCAGCTACAAGACACTTTCTGTTTCACATACAAAACAGCAGACAAGCAGGCAGAGTGGAGGATACAGGGGCAAGATCCTTAGGGAACTTTATTGAAATGGTCTTTAAAAAAAGAAACAGAGACTATAATGTTGGGCTGGCTTACTACATGTAGGTATTTAAATTGGCAATTGTTGCTGTTTCCCATTTTCTTTCTTTCAACGTTGTGCAAGTTTACATATATCACATATAAGTAAAGGTTTCCCTTTCTACATGCTGGCAAAAATATCATTTTTTGCCAAAAAAAGAATAACCTGTCACAAACCAAGTCATTCTATTTAAATATAAAGCCTTTAAAAATAAAGAAAAAAGGAAACGTAATTGTAGGCATTAGTTGCTGCTGCTTTTAATCTATTCCAACCAGTGTGGATTATACATCCTTTAGAATAGTGAGAGGAATAGTTTGCTATGCCAAACGGTGTTCTTATAGGGATTAACAAGCAGAACTTTATAAATCTTTTTATATAAAATCTCACCCTGCATATGTTTGTGCTTGCAAAACTTGAAAAGTAATTGGTCAATTGACGTTTTGATACAATTTTGTATTCCAATACGTGCATCTTTTAATAGTAAAACGAAATTTTGACACAATGTTGCATTCCTAAACACGTGTGTATTTACAGTAAAACTAGGAGTATTAGAGAACACTAAGTGGGATCTGTGATGCCCAAAGCAACCACTCACAGCCAAGCTTTCATTTTACCTCAGCAGGATAAGAAATGAAAACTTAGCTCAAGCAACCAATTGCTGTGCAGCTTTCCTTTTACCTCAGCAGTAAATGAAATAACAACCTATCACAGAGTAGGTTGTTTTACCTCAACAGAAGAAGAAATAACAAAATTTTCAGGTTAAGCCTTTATTTTTTAAAAATGTTTATATGTATTTTAGCCTGAAATGGGAAGTATGCAGTTTATGTATTGTAGTATGAAAAAAGGAAGATGTGAAAGCATCAGAAACACTTGGAAGAGGTTTTTTTTTTTTTAAAAAAAAATCAAATTACAGAAAACAGAAGCTATTCTTAAAACTGCACATTATTCTAAACACTCTTTGTTTACAGCAGTACTTGTGAAAATACTTGGAAAACTATGGCCTTATCTACACTGCTTTTCTCAGGGCCTTTAAATGCCTCTTTTACACTGTTATATGAAATCCAGATTATCTGCTTTGAACTGGATTATATGGCAGTGTAGATTTATATAATCCAGTTTAAAGCAGATAACCTGAATTATCAAATTTGACAATCTGGATTATATTGCAGTGTAGATCAAGCCTTAATCATCTGTAGGGTATACTCACTTTCACATGTTTTAGTTGGCTATTTACATATACGTTATATTAATATTGCATTTTAATCTTTGCACCAAGTATTTTAATATATGCATTTTGTAGTAATATATTTAATATATGATGATGATAATAATAATAATAATAATAATAATAATAATAATAACTTTATTTATATTCCACTCTGTCTCCTCGAAGGGACTCAGGGTGGATTCCAAACATAAAAGGCAAACATTCAATGCTTGAATACACAACAGTACATCCGTACTAACAAAATTTAAACAACCCAATATATAAACATGAATTTTAACTTAACAACTGAAATTAAATAAAAAACACAGCCTGTTATAACAAACATAAGACAAAACATCAAACATCGAATACAAACAATAATTTCCTATTTCCTTGGGGCAAATTGATTAATCATTGCTCAAGATATCTATTGAACTGGAGGGGTGATCAGGGCATGGATACGGATGGCAACTATTAATCAGAGGTATAATGGTAGTATTACCAACTACTACTACTACTCCTTGTAAGCCAGTGAGCAAAGATGTGTCTACAGTTGTTTCTTGAAAGCGGGAAGGGAAGGGGCCATCTTTAACTTCTTAGGAAGGAAGTTCCAGAGGTGGAGGGCAGCCATGGAGAAGGCCCTTTCGCTCGTTCCCACCATCTGTGCTTGGGATGAGGGTGGGACTGAGAGGAGGATCTCCTCCGATGACCACAGTGTCTAAGTTGGTCTATAGAGGGAGATGTGGTTTGTCAAATAGTCTGGACCTAAGCCGTTTAGGGGTTTAAAGGTAAGAACTAGCACTTTGTATTTAGCTCAGAAGCAGACTGGCAGCTAGTGGAGCTGCCGCAACATGGGAGTGGTTCTCGTTCTGAACGACACTCCAGTTAGTAACCTGGCTGCCGATCTCTGGACCATTTGAAGCTTCCAAACTATCTTCAAAGGCAGCCCCACGTAGAGCGTGTTGCAGTAGTCCAAACAGGATGTGATTAAGACGTGGACTACCATAGCCAAGTCAATACGATCATTTCATTGTATGTATTTTATGGTGATGTGTTTTATCTATTGTTAAAACTATTGTGTCTTACCTCAAGCTGTGAGGAGAGGCAGGTAACAAGTAAAATTTATAATTATAATATGCTGTATATATAATATACAATTATAATAATGAGGAAGAACATACCTTCTTTTTCTCAGTTAAACACAGAATAATCTTTTTTTTAAAAAAATCACCAGTTAAAACAATAAATATTAAACACAAAGTAACAGAGGGAAATAAAACTCTTCCTGCCATCACCAATAAACAACAA